TAGATATTTCAGAAGCAAAACATAGTTATGTAAGTTGAATGTTCCAACTATTAATTGAATGTTCCGTGGATGTATTCTGTTCACGCAAGCTTTTAGAAATGTTACCTAGAAAAGAGGCAGCCAGAAAAGCTGAAACTGGGATCTTTGCCATGGGGGTTTGGGAGCCAGTGCTATGAGAGTCCCCTGTCACTGTCCCCAGCCTCCACTGGACTTGGAACTGGATGACAGAATGCCAGGCAGGACTGGTCTTTTTGGTCCATGGATTTCCTTCTAGCTCTAGCTTCACCTTCAGTACCGGTGCCAAGGGCTGGGGGGAGGCAGCCTCTTTACAGTCCCCGGGATGCAGCAGCTTTTGGGAGATCCTGCTGCTGCAGGAAATCTACAGAAAGAGTAGCTGCTGGCTGCTTCTTTACTTAAGCGCTTTGTTATTAAGTCAAAAGCTTCACAAAATTTTCACAAACTTTTACAAAATTTGTAAAATCTTCTAAAGCATAAACAGTAATCCCTATATATATAAAGCACGCAGCCCAAACTTATTCATGGCCATGAATCAACTCAATTCGGATCTCAGAGTCGTTGATTCTTTCTAACATACTTTCAAATTCTCCCTGAAAATGTATCGATGTTCTAGTTGCCATCTGGGAACATAGTTTCTCTAAAAGTTTGTGTTTTTCTGTGTATCTTTGCTGACATCAGAAAAGTATCTTGTTTTTTAAAAAAACTCCTCCGTGTTTGTTTATCCTCGGCTGACAGCAGTAATATAGATGCAGAGATGTGCACACATTTGGCTTCAGCCCCAACAAACCTAAACTACAAACCCTTTCTTGGGAAGTTAACACAATTTAGGAGATTGTTCTCAGTTCGTTATCTTTAATGTATGTACCTTTATTCTCATATATTACACTTTTTGCTACAGCAGACTCCTTAGGTTTATAAAGGGAGATAAAGGTGCACATCTACCTTTTTCACTTTAGGGAAATTTTTAACGTTATTTGAATGCTCTGCTTGTATTTGTGTTGAGGGCTCTGCACCTTCTTATTCCCCCATCCCCCTAACCCCAGCTGAGATTAAAATCTAAAATAGATAGAAACAAATGAAATTTTAAAAATTCTGCTTAAGGAAATACTTTCAGGACTTTTTTTTTTAAGAGTTTATGGCTCCATTCCTGTGACATCAGTATTTGGCAGTGAAGAACTGTATAATTGACTTAATGGACATTTTATAGTCAGGTCATTTTCAGGGGGATTTTCTAAGGCTATAGTCTAGGACTGTGGTATTCTAAAGGGATGTATGTGTCATCTTTTCAATCTAACAATGCCTAGTGGGATGTGTGAAAATCTTTCTTTCTGAGAAAGAATACAATATGCTCATTGATCAGCCAAAAACCTCTGCTTCCTCGCCATGCTGAGCTCAGAATATCATAAAGTGTATGGTTTAAATGTTTATTAATAACAAGAGTTTTGATTTTTATGATTTGTTTTTGTGAATATGGAAAGTATTTGGATTCAAATTTTCAAAATTCTCATCCAAAATATCATGTTTAATATTTATTCCTGTTAGGAACAAGGTCGTTTTATGTCCTGTTTGACTTGTTTTGAACATAATATGCATAGTGTTACTTCCAGGAGGCCAAATTATGAGGTTGTGGATCCTAGCCAAGTTTCAAGCACTTAGGGGTGTTTCCTGATAAGTAAAACAGTGTTGGCTCTTGGATTTAACCAACGTCTCTGGTTGGCAAGAAGAGCTTGCAGGAACCATAGGAAAGGCAAAATTTCATTGTAAAGTAATTATGCAGAGCTCTGTAAATATCTGGATCTTTGAAACAGTAATTATATATGGGTGCACTTGGGTCTAAATTAAATCTTTGAGAAATAGGTAAAATTGGGGAAAAATAATGGGGTTAGATTTGGTTTTACTATTTTGATTAGGTTTTTTTCTTAGAAAAATGATTTTTTTCCTCCAAAGACAATTTATTAAACATAAGGGCATTGAGCAGTGCACAGATACAGTGAAAAAGAGTATAGCCAACAAGAATGCCTGCATGTCTTGATTGCTGTTTGTCTCCCATGTTTGATTTTTTAAATATTCTCAAAGAGCATTATTGTTCTGCATCAGAAACTGCTGTCTGCATATGGTCTTCAGCTTCATCTCATTCAATGGCAATGACGATTGTAAGGCTTTGTCAGATAATTAGAAAATCAAAACAGTTCTCTAAACTCCTGCTTAGTCCAGAAGTTTTCAAAATAAATGTCAATTAAAGTCTTGGTCCTGTGGCGTCAGCAACATGTGAAAGACTATGAGGAAATCATGCAGCTACAGTTCTTCAAAGCCAAAGGCATCTCCAATTGAATTTACTCTCAGTAGGAGGCCTTGCAGAGGCTGAGGGACTTGTTTTACTTTACACCCTTTTTCAGCAGTAACACAGACTTTTCTGCAGTTCTCATGCAGATGGTTGAGTTTTTATGTTCTACTGACATGTGGGATGATGGGAGCTGGGAAGATGAGGGTTTCCATCAGACTAGTGGGGAACATAGCATTAGAAAAGACTTTTATGTACCTATCCATTTGTGGATATTCATACAACAAATACTGAGCTGAAAATTCTTAGAGAACATAAGTTCCATAAGACGATTCCCAGTATGCAATAGCAAACCTCTCTACCCACTCCCTGCAGTTATATTTATTATTTGGAGGGCGGAAAAAATCCTTCCTATTTCCTGTGTCAGGTAGCTGCAAACACTGATTTGTTCCTATTTCAAAGCTGGGAACCTTCTAAGAAGACTTCCTGCATAGTACATGCCAGTGGTGGCTAGATGGTCTTTTTTTCCAGAGTGTGGAACATGACACAATTAGTGTTTTTCTGCAGCAGAAACAGTGTCATCAAATTGGGCATTATGTAGAAGGATTTACTTCCAGCTTTACTTACAACCAGGCAGATGAGGATCTATTGAAGTTAGGATCCAGTGAACTAGCTAATTAAATTGGGAAAGAGAGAATATTGAAGTAATAATGGATAAACTGATGACATGCCTGGAAGTTATGTTGTTTTGTTAACTCCTGACATTTTACTAAGATTCCTATACACAATATTTAATTTGAAGCTGCAGTCTCTGGGTGCCATCTGGAAACAAGCTTTTCCATGACATCTTCAGTTTTTGTATTATATATTACAGTTTCTCACCTTTTGTGGGAGCAGAAGAAAAAGTGTATAAGCATGACTTAAGTGTGTTAAGTGTTTAAAAGTTTAAAGACAGACTTTTAAAAAAGGGCTTGGGATTTTTGTACCAGTCATTTTATTGCTTTGTAAGCTTGGTTTGATTTGTCAACGTTTGACATTGGTGCAAACATTAGACATTGCTGAAGAGGTTGAGACTGGTTTTGTCTAGAATGCATGGCTCTGTAGTTCTCATAGTATGTGTAGCTGTGTTTGCAGTATGGTTCTAATTTTCAGATGTGTTGAGCACTTCCTAGCACATGGCTATATCTAAGATCAAAGCTGAGCCTTTGGCTTGTGACTAAAGTAGGATTCAGTCTTTGTAGCTCTGGAACTTCCTGAGCAGATGACATGTCAAGATGGCAGGAAAATGCAGTGGCTAGTGGTTAGAATGTTTTATTAAAGGTAATTTTGCTGGGCACATTGTGAGCAATATGGTAATTGGTGGCTTACAAAGATACTGTGAAGAAAAGAACACCTTTCACTATGCAAGGCCACTTTGAAGAAATAGCTTTGATGATTCCAGTGGGATGGAAATGGGATGATTAATATTTACTACAGTGGTTTATCTCCTTTGAAGAACAGACTATAAATTACCAGTCTTCAACTTAGAGGAATCTTTACATGTATATACTCTAAGGGTAGTTATTCCTTGATATAACAAATAGTCATGACTGCATGAACAAGGTAAAAGGTGATTCTGAAAGTGGTACAAAAATTTGGCTTTGTTAAGATAAAAGATGACTGAGAAATCTAACAACAAAATGAAAGGATGGCACAATGGGAGGCAAAATTCAATAGTGACAGATGCATGCTAATTTTCATTAGCAAGAGTTTGAATTGTTAGTAAGTATTGCTGCCTTGTGTTTGGTGGTAATATCAAGGCAGAGCAATAGTAAATGAAAATGCATCTGAGACAATGAGGGCTGTATTACGCCATTAACCTGTCAAGCATAATACCACAGGATATCATTTCACCCTGGAATCTAGAAGGAATCAAGAAAGGCTCAGTGATGTGTACCTAATTAATTATACATTTCATGGAATATTAGTATGTGCTTCTATCCTATAGAGTGCCTAGAGTGAATTGCTAACTAAGAGGGAAATAGAAAATATTTCCACATATGAGTATTTTTTACCCCAGTGTTTCTTGGAGATGCTTAAGGTTTTCTGAGGTAGTTGAATGATCAAGTCATTGGACTGGTTGAATATAATAATTTTAGGCCAGAGATAACAAAATCTACCTCTTTTCATATTGACTAGTATGAAATCAATAAGATATTTAGATATTTTGGAGCAATATCAAATAACGTTGTCAAATAATTTTGAATAGGTTAATGATTAGAGACTTGAAATGTAACCTAATGAATTGCAAAAAACGAAAAAAAATATTAATTTACAAATCTTGTGGTAAAACTAGTAGAGGACAGCTCCTACATAAATACATTTGTATTTACTTTGCAAATTAAAGTCGAAAAAATTGGAAAGACAATATTTTAACTTGCGTGTGTACAAATGCCTTAGAATTTTCAGTTACTAGTAGGACACTGTACCTAAGTTATTTAATCACTGTGGTGTATTTCAGGAGGTTAAGAATGACACTGTCCAATCCAGTTGGTTGGGTACATTGCCGGTACATGGGATTTCTGCTTTAACCGTTATGTTATTTTAGTATATATTCTTAATGCCATGTTCTTTTCCCAGTTATAAAATGACTGCATTTTCTTATCCCAACTAAAATGTATCTTGATGTAACTAACTTTTAACTTTTTTTTTTTTTTTCCAGTTTAAAAGAATGCTCAATCGTGAGCTAACCCACCTCTCTGAAATGAGCAGGTCAGGCAATCAGGTCTCAGAATATATATCAAACACTTTCTTAGGTAAGATTACAAGTTAACTTTTTTTCATTTGAGGAGTTTTTGTATCTCTCTGGGCTGTGTTAGAACCTAAAAGCAAGTGGCTTTTCATAATAATTTCTGCTTTCAGAAACTGTGCATTTAGCATATTGTCAGCATTTGTGCAGAGAGATCAGGTTAGATCCATTTCCTCATAGCTCAGCTAATTTGTGGATGTGATTTCCCTGTGTGTGTAATTACAGATAAATATTCATGTACATATTACAACTACTATATTGCTACCATATAAAGAAATTATTATAATGAATTATAGAGAATCACAGAGATTCACAGAATATTCTGAGTTGGAAGGGACTCACTAGGATCATCAAGTCCAGCTCTTAAGTGAATGGTCCATACAGGGCTCAAAGCCACAACCCTAGCTTCATTAGCACTATGCACTAACCAACTGGGCTAATCTCAGAGTGGTAATTATATATATATTCATATATTAAAGAGAACTCTACAACTATATTTTCCTATATTGGAATTACTGCAGAGGTTTCAGTGTGCTAGAAGCACATGTAACCTCATAAAATCTCACAACAAACAGTTAAGATATTTTGGTGTTCCCTGTCTGCACATGCACAGTTAAGTGCATGTGACTAAATAAACATCTGGACAGACGTTTTCCAGGAAGACTTTTGCAACTCCAGATCTTGGCATGCTGGGATGTGAGCATTAACAAAAACCCAACACAGTATTACAAAGAACATGGTTCCTTCACCATTACTTTTTTCCTCCTAAAGTTAATGAAAATCAAGAAAACTTCATTCCATATTGATGATTTTGAACATGAAGATAAAGATACTATGCCAATCTTAAAATATGTTTTGAGCAAAATACCTTTGGTTCATAAAGACGGTGTAATAAGAGAGGCACAGTCAAATACATCTAAGTGAGGATAACAAGTACTTTAAAAAGTGACAGTCATACATGTTAAGATCCATCTTATTGTGTGTCATATACCATAGCTGGTGCTTTTTGTGGCTTTCTTGAATGAAATGGGGTTTCTGTAAAGTACATGTTATCCTATCACCCTGTCCAAAATGGATGGCTGAGTGTGTCTGTTCAGCTGGCCCACGGTTGCAGTATTGTGCCAACTGCTGCAGCACAGCAGGGGTTCAGACAGTGGGAGAAGGATAAGCCCATCATGGACAAGCAGTAATGCCCAGCTTCAGATGCCCTGGAAACCACAGTGTGCAGTTGCCTGAAAGGATGACCCACTTAGGCTGTGGAGACTGGGATGCCAGCTTCTGCTTGCTTTCACTTGAAAGCTCAAGACTTACTTTGACAGAGTAAAGAAATGCATCCATCAGCCTTTCACTTGAGATCTCAGTCTTGAGCAGAAAGAGGGCTGGAAAGTCAATCACTTCTAATTTACTGGACCATGGGCACTGTTTTCTGTCTGCATGAAAAACTGGATACTTAAAATAGTAGGTATAAGGAAAACACTTCATCTACAGATATATTGCTTAAATATTTTCAAAATATGCAGTCTAAGTATATAGGTTCTGAACATCTATGTAAAGAGAAAAATTCTCTCCCTAGAAATATTTAATGAGTTCATTATCTAATTTCTTTTTAATACATAACTTGTCTCCTCAACATCTCCAAACTTTCTCACATTTGTAATTTAGAAAGGTGTCATGAGAAAACAGGGTTTTCTGTTCTTATTAAAAAACAAAACCAAAAAACCCAACAACAACCACAAGCCCAAACTGTTTTCCTTTTGGGCTATGTGAATGTTTGAAGTTATTTATAATGACAAGAAATATAATCTGTGTACGAGACATAAGGGTCCTACATTGTGTACAATAATATGCAACGTTTTTCTTTTTCAGCGCCATTACCCTGTTTTCTATGAATGGAAAATGTTTGAGAACCTGTCATTGAGCTTAGCTTAAACAGGGTCAAAATGGCAAGCTGTCTTTTCTGGATGTTGAGATGGGCACAGGCCTGTGTGCTCAAAAATACAAAAGCAGAGGCAGTCCCATGGATTTTCTCTGGAGATCTTAAGTCATTCAGACACACACTTCCTTTCACTTGAGTTAGCCTGACAGTTCAGCTAATGAGCCTCTGTTTGATGGGTCTAAACTTTGTGCATATGACTGAAACCATAAACATCAAAGCACAAGCACAAGTCACAGCTCCTCATCTGTTGTCAGTTTGCCCCAGACAAGGGCTGCTGTGCTCCACCTCCCCTTTTCCTCCTTACAACGAGAGTGGTGAAGTGTGATGGGGTGTTGGGGAGACTCAGTGCTGCAGGCTACAGCCTGGTGACATTTCCAAAGTGTCTTCTTCATTGTAATTTGTTTGGAATTTGAGATGTCCATTAAATGTATCTGCTAAAGGGTTATAAAAAAATTTAAAAAGGAGAAAAGAAAGTGAAGAAGCAAACGTATAACAAGCTGGTAATTAGAAATGGACTGGCTAACCTCATCTGGTTTCAAAGTTGGTATTGGAAATTAATATCTCAGAAAGGAAAAAATGCACATGTAAAAATCCCAATTTTTCTTACCTTCTTTTAAAATTTTATTTTGATTTAAGGTGTTTTTTAGCTGTTTTGGCTCATGCCCCATGTCAGAAACATCTTTTCTGGATTTCTGTGCTTTTATTGGTATATTCCTTGAGGTCTAGAAAAGGTGGAGATACATTTCAGCAAAAAAAAAAAAAAGAGATAATTTGAAGGGAGTCATTAAACTCTAGATTGAAATACAGTATTAATTAAAGGAACAAAAAATAATTCACATTCCTAGTAGTTTTGTCAGAAAAGCCCTCCATACTAACTTGGATTTCTTTGGGGCAGATATTTCCAATACTTCACAACCCCATACTGTTTTTGCAGCAATCCTATGGCAGTTGCCTAAATATACTTTACTCTCAGTTTAATTCTTGTCTAAAGTTTTGCTGGCACATGTTGATAAATTTTATTAAGTGATGCTGCTGATACTGCTGTGGGGGCAGAAACCCACAGCAAAATTCAGAGATTAACAAAGCACTTGTTTTGTCACGATTATTGACTCTATCTGGGAAGTGCAGAAACTCTGTGTTGGTGGCATGAACTGCCAGCAGTCCAAAGTGCCCGTAGATGTGGCTGGCAAAAGGCTTTCCAAGCTGTACAGTCTTAGTAGACAGGACCAGTCCACAAGTCTGAAAATCCTTCGAGTTCTAAAAAAGTTTTCTAAAGGTTTACATGAGGACGCACGTGGACAGTTTTTGAAATACAATTTCAGAGAATGTTACTCCTGAAAAAAAAGAAACAAAATTAGTTTTTCTTGAAAAATGTATTCCTGTGAGGTTGTAATATCGTTTTTAGACTGAGATGATTGACCCTTTCTACAGCACTAGGGATATGGCAGAAGTGGTAATCAGACAGTCACAAGTTGCTTTTAAAGCCAATTCAGAAATAATGAGGCAATTTGAGTAAAAGAGGTCTGCTTGTACTGAAGTATAGGTCTATATTTAACTTTTCATGGGTTTAATGATCTTGATAGAAAGAATCTATTGCAAAATATTAAAAGAAGTTTTTCTAAGAATTAAAAAGTCCATAAGGTGCAACTCAATAGTGAATTTTATAATATTTCTAATTCTTTTATAAATTATTCTCTTTTTGTTCATTCTTTTGAAGACAAGCAACATGAAGTTGAAATCCCTTCTCCAACACAGAAAGAGAAAGAGAAAAAGAAGAGGCCAATGTCCCAGATCAGTGGAGTCAAAAAACTCATGCACAGCTCCAGCCTAACTAATTCCAGTATTCCCAGGTTTGGAGTTAAAACAGACCAAGAAGATGTCCTTGCCAAGGTATAGAATATATATATCCTTGACTTTTTATAAACAGGGTGTGGACCTTTGAGTTTTATTCCATCCTCTGCTTATATACATTGATTTCAAGCTGCAGCACCATGCATTGATATCACTTGAAATAATTCAAATTGTTGGAGTAGAATAGAAAGACAAATCAGACCATAAGCGTTAATTATAGCATGAAGATGGGATATAAATTATCATATGTGTATATATTAAGAAAGCTGCCTATTTATAAATACCTGAAGATTGAAGTGTAAACGTATTTTATGATGTCACAGGAATGAAAATGTATAGATAGCAATGTATAGATTATGTATAGATAAATGCATAAATGTATAATAAATTTATAGATAGCATTATTTTTAAATAATGCACAAGGGTATATAGTATTAGAGCTACCCTTCCTATTTTTATCTGCATCATTTTATGTACATCCTTTCTCTTATTTTTTAAGGAAATTTCTTGGGTTTTTTTGCACCAGCAGCTAACTACTTGGTAATAACAGAAAATTGGTAAAAAAAATATTTTTGATTGAGTTTTGAATTTTAAAATATGCCTATCCTAACATTTTCAGGAATCTTGTTTGAGGAGTGTTTCTGAGAACCAGGGTGAGAGCAGCAGAATTGCAATTTCTCTGGAGGTTTTCTCCTCACTGAACTTTGTTGTCAATGGACAGTGAGTTAGCAAAGTATGTCAGTTAAACTCATTCAAGATGCTGTAGAATTTTTCCCTCTGGAGCAATCCACTTAAGAGGCAATCTTTCCTTCTTAGACAAGTAAAATCTGAAAAATGGGTAGATGTAAATTCTGATATTGCAAGATTAGTAGCAGCTGCAGAGTTTAGAGTTTAGCCCTCGCAAAATTTAGCATGTAACTTGCACAGTATCCAGGTTTGAATGAGTCTTCTGCTTATATTTGCTTCTCTCAAAAACTCCAGGAATTTTTGTGTTAGGTTTCAACCTGTTCATTGCTTGGTTTTACTCTAGGAACTTGAAGATTTGAACAAGTGGGGCCTTCAAGTTTTCAGAGTAGCTGAGTTATCTGGAAACAGACCTCTGACTGTCATCATGCATACTATTTTTCAGGCAAGTAGGAGCAGTCATGCTGCTTTTTTTTCTTATCTTGGAGACTGTTCTGTGCTTTGAAATCTAATTGTTTTTCCTTTACTTTCATAGGAGCGGGACTTGTTAAAAACTTTCAAGATTCCAGTAGATACTTTAATAACTTACTTGATGACCCTGGAAGACCATTACCATGCAGATGTGGCGTACCACAATAACATTCATGCTGCAGATGTCGTTCAGTCAACCCATGTCCTACTGTCAACCCCAGCATTAGAGGTAAACTACTGAAGAAGAAAAGTGGCAGTCGTGAGAGAAGGAAATGCACTGAGAGTCTTCTTCTTTAGAAGACTGAGAGTCTTAGTTTCGGCAATGATTTTAAAATAAATCTTAGCATTTCTTTAATGAGCTCTGTTCTTTTTAAGATATTTTGTGAGGATCAGAGTTACATGTAAATATTGTGCGGAAAATATCATGTCTTTTCATTTTAAATCTTGCAGATTTTGCTGTCATAACCTTTTTCACTGTAACACAATGCATATCTTGTTTCCACCCTCACATTATTTATGCTGCATCCTGTTCTGTAGTTATTTCCCATGTGAGACTCTACAGAACCACATAAGTGGAATTTCATAGAAAAGTTTATTCTGGAAAGACTACTTTTGTATATATTTCTAAGACAGATTGGAACATGTACTAAATTTTCACTGGATTATCTCTTTTTTTACCCACCCCATAAACATTTCATAATTGTTTGGGGAAAAATGTTATTCTGTTCTTTTTGTAGCAAGTCTCTTCTTGAAAGTTCTTAAATTTATGAAATAGAGGGATGTGAAAGATGGAGATTTTCCCTCTTTTAAGCACAGTTCAGGTCTTAACATAGCAAATGTTGAAGTTGATATATCCCAGCAAATGGTTAGAAAAATTCAGGTAAAGGAAGCAGTAGAAATGTTATTATGTTGCAAGGATTTACCTTCATTTTCAAGAAGGGCTGCATTTTGATTCTTACCTTTTGATAATGGTCAATATTTCATGTCACTGAATACATCTCTTTTGCCTTCTTCTTGAGAAGAGGGTTATAAATGGACCTCGAGACTATTGACAGATTTGGATCCTCAAAGACTTGGAAATCTCTTGAGAAAGATTTTCTTGCTCTCAAGAAGAAAGATCAGATAATGTTCTTAAAACACCACTCGCTTCACCATACAGCTGAACATCAGTAAAACTGTGGGTGGTTCTTTTTCCCCAGATCAGTTTTTTTCCCATGGCTTTCTTCTCAGCAGAGGTTTAGCCAATGAAATGGCAATGTCTTCCCACTGCCACTGCTGGTCTATGCACTTCAGAGCTGTCCTTGATCAATTCTGAAAGCATTTGCATCTTGTGGGTGCTTCTGACAACAGGGCACTGGGCTCAGTGACATTCCAAGTCCATCGCAGTCATCTTTTCCTGTCTTCCTAATAATGTCATACAAATGGAAAAGCAATAAATTCTAAGTAAGATGTGTGTAGTCTGTCACTGTGTCCTTTAGCATTATATAGGAGATGTGCATCTTTCAAGTACAGGACAGTATACAGGGGTCAAGCTGAAATATTTAACTTTAACTTGTGCTATAATTTAGAAACCTGTACTTAATTGTCTAAAAAGGTGATTTTATTTACAGACTGAAGATGAAAATACTTCAGTTGTGACAGAGTTTAGTAACGCCCCCCGTATGAAATACAAATCACTTTCCTTTGGTCAGACTTGTAATATTTATGAAATTCTACATAATTGATGATTTTACAAAGGGTTGATAGTTTGCGTGTAAAGTCTCTGGAGGTCATGATATGTTTCAAAAGTGTTTTGCTTGTTCACATCCAGATTCAAAGTAGAGTCCTTTGTATTGAAAACCCATTTTCAGTGGTTGGTGATTGTAATTTCTCTTTCATTATATTCTAGGCGGTGTTTACTGATTTGGAGATTCTTGCAGCAATTTTTGCCAGTGCAATACATGATGTAGATCATCCTGGAGTTTCAAACCAATTTCTTATCAACACAAGTAAGTTTGATGTTTAGTGGTTTTCTCAAAAATTAGCTGTGAGGTCTGCACCTAGCACCTGAAAATTATACAGTTCGTTCCTTGTTTGCTTCTATCTCTAACTTTTCTCAATAAATAGTTTATATTTTAAAATGTTTATATTTTAAACCTGAAATTGCTTAATTTTTTTGTAACTTTAGAAATAGTTTACATATTACCCTCTGGGAAGAATTACTAAGATACAAACTCTAAACCTGGCAATGTTTCCATGTATTGCATGTTGTCTCTGTAAATATAGTTGATTTACATTGCATAGATAAAGTTTTAGGAAGAGAATGAAGGAAGGTTTGGTTTTTTTTAAAAAAAGAAACGAGACAAAAGTTTATGTGTTTATATTGGAAGCATATTACATGATCAAGGATAGAAATTCAGAAAGCAGAAAAGCAAGTTTCTTTTTAGCAAACAGACAGGACAATCTCTGCCTGGATCCCGTACTTGACTTTTAATCTCTCATGCCTTTTAGACTGAATATCCTCACCCTGTTTCTGCAACTATGATAAACCGGTTTGGGTTTTTTTGACCCTAATGTGATCTCCAAATATGAAACCCAGTGTACTTCTGCATTCCTGAAGTCTGCAGCATTGCTGAACCTCTATCCCTTCCTTATTCATCTGCTGAAAGAAAACACTGTTAACTTTATTGAACCTGATCATGACACATTTACTCAATGGTTTGTTTCCCCCCTGGCAGCCTGCTTGGATTTTGTTGACTTAGTCACTATTATCAGTGGGTAGCCCTTTGTAGGTCAGTACAAGTTCCATCATACTGTGCTATTTCTTCTGCTCTCTGACAACTTCTCCTTTTATGATAACTGACTGAGAAGTACTAACAATCCAAGCACAGAAGAAAAAGCAACAGAAATGGAAACACATCTAGGGCTACATGTTTGACCCATCTGGTTGCACGTTTATAGATACTCTCACTTCTGCACATGGGCGAATCTATTTCACAGGTGTTAAAATAGAATGACCCCAAATCAGCAGTAGAGTTTGAAGAAGGGAGCTCCTCCTCTGACTCATTGCTGCTGAAAATTCAAACAAGACACGCACTTCAGTTTAGCCTGCACCTAGTTTTGTTTGTCTCAACGGCCTAAGGGCCACCCTATAATGAAATTGATTTTGATGACTCACCCACATGGAAGAGGATTAAGATTGACTCTGGATTTCTTGTGCTTTACTGGGGACCAGTACAGTTCAGCAGTGTAGTACAGGCAGAGTCAAGCTTTGTGCAAAAAACAGTGTGTATAATACCTGAATCCTTAAGAGTGGGCATATGTAAGTATAGTTTTTTTGCTTGTCGTGTCAGAAGTTGAGTACCAGGTTATAGTGGTGGCTCCAAGGTTCTGTGAGGAAATCAATGAATTGTTTATGTTTAAGAGGGTTGACTTAGTCAAAGAGATGAGTAGTGGTGCATAAGGCTTACTTCTAGTTAGACAGATTGAAATTCAGCTAATATAGGAGTCATACTCATGCTGCTAATTATCAGCTTAGAAAATATATCTTGTTTTTCTCAATTCTGCTTTTGATAAAGGAGGCTTATGTGTCAGTCAAGTAACAACACTAATTGAAACTGCTGTTGCAAGGCTGAAAGAAACAAAGAGACTTTTTTTAAAAATTTTTCTGTGTACAAGGAAGAAACTGCAGGGATGGATAGAAAAAGATCATCTAATGTGGGTTTCTTAAATCCAAAATTTTCAAAAGATAATTTGCATCCAATCTAATTTTGTTTTTCCAGTGAACCGAACAATATATTAAGATTTCACTAAATATAAGAATACATTTAAAAAAAACCCAAAACATCATAGACTCAGTCACTTAAAGTATGTACATACTTGCCATATTTCCATCTTATTTTTTATAATTAGTCTTGTGACTTTTCTATTATTTTCTTATTTAAAGTCTATTACAGAGTTGTCAACTAAACTGATCCCTCTTGAATGCTGTTAAAGAATTTAAAAAAATGAAGTATATTAGCATCAGAGGAGATGCTTATTTTACCACTGTAACTCTGTCCTTCCAGAAAAATATTCTTGAATCTTATAATATTTTATAGACATTACCAAGGGGGAACTTTCTTCTGTTTTTACATCCATTTTGAAATTGAGTGAATTTTAGCTGTATCTGTAGCTCCAGCTCTTCCAAAGTGTTTTGGCAATGTGGAGGGTTTTGCAGTTGCAGCAAATCAGAAGGCTGTTTGAAAGGAAAATAAACTACAGTCTGCTTTCTGCATAAGAAAAACAAGTATGCAAGCCTTGTATGTGTTCTGTGAAAGATGAAAGAGCAATCATTTTACAAACTTGCTTTCTTTCTACTTCTGCTGTTACAGTTTTGCTGCCTTTGGGATAAGGAAAGGCAGAGGAAGACTTTCCTGATTCAATAGATCAATTTATTCAAGGCAGGAGAGGAAGACAGCAGGAGAATAGATAATGAGATTAATGACATCTGAAGATCAAAGCTTTTAGAGGCCTCCCATTGAACCGGAGGCATTTTAAAACATAGCTGCTATAAAAGAAGAAAAGAGTGGAATAGACTGATATATGTTTAGACATAGGCTAGAACAGCTGTAATAAATAGAAGCTAATATAGCACATGAAAAGTATGATTGCAGAAAAAGTATTTGACTTTTCTTGCGATAGATTTATTCACAAGCTGTATCTTAAAGCATATGCAAGCTGACTGTGCAGTATTGCTGGGTTAAAGCTAAAGCTGTGCAGAAAGTTTTGTAACTGCTTTGATTTTTCAGAGCTGTCTGTTCAGCAGGTCTAGGCTGACCTTTCAGGTGTGCCTTAGCACAGGCTTGGCTGGGAAAGTGTGTGTTATTCTCACGCCCATGTGGGGTGACGGAGGTAAGAATAATTCCATTGGTGAAGGCAATATTACAGACAGCACCAGGGACCCGCCAGGCTCAAACACAAGGCAGCAGGCAAGACCACTGCCTGCAGCTTCACACCACACGACATTACATGAAAAAGACAGAAGCATAGTTGCTATCATTCTACCAGCCTTCAGTTGTCATGGACTAATGACTGTAAGCCTTGTTCGCTAGGCATCTGAGCATCTTAGATAACTGCAGAAAGACATGATTTGAAAACCAAGAAGTGTATGCTCTGCAGCAGACCTGCAGAAAAGCCTCTGCTGTGTATTCCCAGGTCAAAGTGCTGGAAAGCTGAAACTTGACTAGCAATAGAATTTTAGATGTTGTGACAGAGAGAGGCATGAGAAGACAACACAACAGTGTGTTTGAGTTGAGATGTGTTTGTGCATATATTATGCATATAATATTTTCTAAGCTACTTCATGCAGATATGAAAATTTATTCTGAAAATTACCTTTCTTATATTTTTTCTAATTTGCCACTCCAGGCACATATACATGTGTCATTACAAAGCCTTTTCTTTGTTTTGCTCAATGTACTTTGGCTTGACCTAGTAAGATAGTCAGTCAATAATTCTGTAACTTTTAGGGCTGTTACTAAAAGTTTATCTGTAAATCATGTTATGCATCTAATGAATTTGAAAAAAATCTTAAGGGATTTGGTAGAAGTGCAGGCTTTAGTAACCTTCTGCCCTGCAATTGTTATTGCAGATTCTGAACTCGCCTTGATGTACAATGACTCATCAGTACTGGAGAATCATCACTTAGCTGTGGGTTTCAAGCTGCTGCAGGAAGAAAATTGTGACATTTTCCAGAATTTGACCAAAAAACAGAGACAATCATTGAGGAAAATGGTCATTGACATTGTGAGTTGAGACTGTCTTCCGTAGAACTAGCACATTGAATAATAAAGCCCAGAAGCACCTTATGAAAAATGACATGCCATCAGGCCCATAAACAATGAAGTGAAAGTTTTGTCATGTCTTACCCAAACACGAACAGTGGGTTTTTAAGTTTCAATAGCTTTCTATGCATTTCTAGAAGGTATACAATTCTGTTTCGTGCTGACATGTATCCCATTCTACATCGCTGTTAGAGATTTGCTACTCAATTAATAATAAATTTGGGCTGATCAGTTTATTCTGAAGAACGCTGAACAATGATTTTCTCATATTCTTAAAATAACTAGTATGAGAACCAAATGTAATTAACATACAGGACTCATATTTATGTATTAAGGCATAGAAGCTATGGGCTCCTTCCAAAACTGATGATTTATATGTTCAGTTATTTTTCAAAAAACCTCAGTACAATCATTTACACAGTTTCATTTTTTGTTTGTTTTTTTCTAGGTACTTGCAACAGATATGTCTAAGCATATGAATCTACTGGCTGATTTAAAAACTATGGTTGAAACTAAAAAAGTGACCAGTTCTGGTGTCCTGCTTCTTGATAACTATTCAGACAGGATTCAGGTAAGGAAATGCACCTGAAAATGGTCACTTGTATCACATACTTAATAACATTGTCCTCTGGATTCTCCAGCATGGATTAGAGCTGTCTCTTTCACACCATGATTCACTGCTTCCCTCTGTTTCCTCTCTGGTCTAAGCGACTCTGGGAGACTAACAGAGTGCTAGGGTAGTTCGGGACTACATGAGTTTTGGCCTTCCTGTCAAATTATAAAAAAGTGATCCTCTTTCTCACAAGGATTTTGTGACCTTTATAGAGGCAGAAGCAGCAGAAGCCAGGTAATTCATAGCTATTACTGCAAGTGTGAAAAGCACACAAGCACATAAGTTTTGGCTGATTAGAATAAATCTTGCATTACATGTATTTTAAAGATTTTACAGTCACCAGAAATGTAAATAAAAAAGAAGATGCTTTTATTCAGTGTAATAACACCACGGGTGTTCAATCTATTCTAGGTTCTTCAGAATATGGTGCACTGTGCAGATCTGAGCAACCCTACCAAGCCACTCCATCTCTACCGCCAATGGACAGACAGAATAATGGAGGAATTTTTCCGTCAGGGAGACCGGGAAAGAGAGAGGGGAATGGAGATAAGTCCCATGTGTGATAAGCACAATGCATCTGTAGAAAAATCGCAGGTAATTGATTTGATAAGGCAGTCAAATCTTTTAGAGGAAAAGGATGTTGCATAGTCATGTTTTGATTAATTTCTGAATGCAATTTTGCTTCGTCTGAGTTAATTAACTCAGGTCCTCAATAGTAAGTGAGGCAAGTTGAGACTTTTACTGTGAAAATATAGTCCATGGCAGTATGTTTGCTGAAGGGATTCCATCGCTGTCCTAACCTGAAAAGCAGCAGACACACCTAGAGAGATTATTTACAGCTGATTAGGGTTTCCTTCGAAAACAGAATTAAATATAAAACAGATATTTGGCTCACTAGATACAGTGGAGTTTTTTGGAATGAGTAGTTCACTTGAAAACAAATCCTTTCCATGCCCTCATCCAATATCCTGAATCAGACTTTTGAAAAGTAAAAGACATTATCTACTATATAAACTAGTATGATTTCCTTTCAGCCGTCTTTAAAGACAATGTATCTTGTGTCTCTTCCTAGCATTGTATTTCTCATAGTTTGCATGACTTATTCATTTCTCTGTGAATAATCATATTCTTGTCTTATTTGAAACAGGTGGGTTTTATAGATTACATTGTTCATCCTTTGTGGGAGACATGGGCAGATCTCGTTCACCCAGATGCCCAGGATATCTTAGATACACTGGAGGACAATCGAGAATGGTACCAGAGCACAATCCCTCGAAGTCCCTCTCCTGCACCTGAAGAAAAAGAAGAGGGAAAGCAGGGTCAAACTGAAAAATTCCAGTTTGAACTAACACTGGAGGAAGATGGTGAGTCAGACACCGAAAAGGACAGTGGAAGTCAAGTAGAAGAAGACACCAGCTTCAGTGATTCCAAGACTCTTTGCACCCAGGATTCAGAATCCACTGAAATTCCTCTTGATGAACAAGTAGGGGAAGAAGTGGAAGAGGAGGAGAACCAAACAGCAGAGCCTTGTGTGGTAGAAGAACATTCTCCTGACACATAACAATGAAAATACAGTCTCTTTCTCTTGTGCTCTCTCCCTTTTTTTTTTTGTTTTCCTGGGGGGTGAGGGGTGGAGGATGGGGCTGGGACAATTTCGGTTTTGTTTTGGATTTGTTTTTTTGTTTTTATATTTGTTTTTGTTTTGTTGTTGTTGTTTTGTTTTTTTGGCTTTTTTTTTTTTAATGTAGGTAATGATTTTCGAAGTATATGTCACATACAACAACCATTGTCAGAACTTGGTGTAATCTGCCAGGATGATTGTTGATCAAAACTGAAGTTGATGATTCAGTTTGGCACTCAGGAATATTGTAACCAGAATTTTCACCTCCATGGCATCAGAAAGCAGGGGGAGAAATCCGTAAATTACATTTTAATAATTTGGCAGATTCCATCAAATAAAGCAAGTGCTCTCAGAGGAGTAGCACCTGCCAAACAAATGTTGGTGTGCTTTGATAGTTTTTGAATTCATTGTATTATATTGTAAGACATTGGATAATGTTCATTTGTAGAGGAAAAAGATGGAAAAAACATTGAGGTTCCTACTGGAAAACAAATTCAAAAAAAATTATGGGAGACAAATGGATTCTGTTACCAACATGAAGATAAGCTGTGAAAATTGCATAATTTTCTAATTTCTAATCGTCTGAGACATGACTGAAAAAATGTGACCCAGTGGGTTGCACTAACCTCTCCATTTTGTATAATATGTGAAAGAGAGATATTTTCTAGAACTTACTTTTATTAAATATACCAAGGTATTATATTTTAAAAAAACCCCACTTTCATCTGCCACTTGTTATTATTTTTTTTTGAGAGAGTAACTTACACGTTTTTAGTACAAATCTGTACTACACTGGATAATACTTCTAAGGGTTTTTTTTTTTTTTTTTTTTTTTTGGCACCTTAGAATATCATGGTAATATTGAACTTTAAAGGTCTATTATTTTATATATTAGTGAGTTCCATGAATATTCTTTGTTACATAAAACTTTTTCAGTATGATAGCTTTTTTTTTTTTAATTTGTTTTTTTATCACAACTTTCCCAGATGTGTTAGTGGACTTATATAGTGCTTTTACCCTCATAGTGGCCTGATCCTACCAACTCTGTCTTACTATAAGAAGTGTCCCCAGTGATACCAGCTGAGACTACTTACACTAGGATTCACAGGACCAGAGCCTGTAGAAGAGTAATGAATTGTCATCAGTACAAAAGCACCTCTTTTGCTATTCTAAAAAAATTTGTTCCTCTGAAACAAGGTTTTTCAGACTGCTTTTGTCTGGGAGCTATAGACTGCTACATCAGAACAGAATAATACAATGTATGAAATATTTGTTCTGGTGCACAAAAAAGCATTAGTGTAATATTTCCAATTTATGACTCCCAGTAACTTTTAATCTGGTTAGCTATTTAGTTAAACCTAATCTGAGAGATGTACAACATAGAAATAACGATTAGTGTTATTTTTTAATGTCTTTATTGCAGGAAGAGCCAGGCCAGTCTTGTCTTTTTATATTATTATGTAAGTGAGCAGTGCATCATCAGAGTTGTAGTTTTCTCCATATTATTTCAATCTTAGATATTTTCATGCTTTATCCGGTTTGTGCTAAAGGAATCCTACCTTTCAGTTTGATTGGTACTGAAAGCTTCCATAACTTGGAAAGCTAAAGGGAGGTAGGAGTTCATTTTTCAGTCTTGTAGTTTGGTCACATGGAAGTTTGTATTTCCTCCACTTTACTCTTCATTAGAACTGTAGTTTTGAGTGTAGAAGATGGGAAATAGTTGCCTAGGGAGGCTAGCAGACTCCCACAGTGTAAAATTCTGTTGAAATGACAACATCAAGATAATTTTCTAACAAAAGTTGATAGCAGCAACCATTATTTTCCCTTTGGATTTTTTTGCGGCAAATTTGCAGAAATTAATGCAGGTACTTTTGAATTACCAGAAGTCTAGAATAAAAACCCGTTTTAAACTAATTGGCTAGTAGTTCAACTTTGAAATAAATTTTGCATCTTCTATATCCAGGTCATAATTTTCTTTACCATTAGCCCTCACAGGGCCTTAGCACAAAGGACGCAGAAGGAGTAAAAGAATGAAGATAACTCACGGGGTTTTTTATGTTTTGACTTTTTTTTTTTTTTAATTTTTTTTTCATCATTTCTTGCTGAACCTGATCTATCTAAAAGTCCTTTCAGCCCCCAAGAGTGCCTGGAGCCTCAGTAGTGGAAAAGCAATATAAATTTCAGAATAACCAGTAGGACCTGGAAGGTTTGTTTCTGCACTAATGGAAAGTAAATAAACATAAAACCATATTGTGAGATATACACGTGTACATGTGGACAATCAAATCATAGAAAATTATATCATTTCTTAGAGTTGGGGATATAATGCACTGTACAATCTTTTTTTTTTCCTCTTTTGCCAAAGTGTGTTTTAGCATTGTACACTGCTTTAAAAAAATACAATTTACAAGTGGCTTTATGTGTTGTGAATATTTTTGCCATAAAACCATACAGTGAGTGGATATTGAGTGGGAGGAAAAAAAGAAAAATCACCTTGTTTATAACAGTACACTTTAGCTTGCAAGTTGCTGTACTCTGTAATGCTGTATTTAAATTCTTAAATTGTTTTGTGTCATTAAAAAAGAGAAAGAATATAGATAGAACAAATAGCATTCAGAAGTTTAAAAACTTGAATGAAAAGGATTTTTAGAAAGCTTTGACAGTTCTTTTCAAATGCATTATTTATTTTTTGTGCCATGCATTTTTCTCACCAAATGACCTTACCTGTAATACAGTCTTGTTTGTCTCTGTTTACAACCATGTATTTATTGTAATGTACATACTGTAATGTTAATTGTAAATTATCAGTTCTTATTATAACATCATCCTTGTCAAGGGTGGTGTTGCTGTATCTGGAAACTCTTGGTGAGAGAATGACTATTGTGTATACATATTCCTTGTACATTTCTTCTCCTGTAATATATTCAGTGTCACCATAGAGCTCGTTTATGGAAGATTCAAGAAAAGTATAAAATACATAAAGATATATCGATTTAAAAAGCTGCAGGTCTTTGGTCCCAGGGCTGTGCCTTAACTTTAAACAATATTTTCTTGTTTAGCTGCATTTGAAAGTAAGGTAGCCTTGGGGCTGGGGCTGGGCATTTCTACCATATTTTTAGTTGCTAACTGATGGGGGATACTCTTACGAGCTAATATGTGTAATACTACAATAAATTTTCATTCTTGACCCTGCTGGAAGTTCAAGCTTTTGCAGACTTCTGGTAATGTAATTGTATTGTCTCCGAATATCTTTTTACAGCCTGTAACTGGGGATTATTGCAGCCATTTTTTGTTCCTAAAAAGATAAATAATTGATGCTGCATTTCAGTGCTGACCTGCACTGAAACAGCTTTGGAAAGCATCTCTAATAAACATTTGATTTTAATGCATATTGTGAAATTGAATGATCAGAATTAAGAGGGTGTAACTCATACACTTTTACAATTGTCTGTAATGTCTCTTCTTTAGTAGCACAAATGATCACTGTATAAGCAGAATCCATAGTAGGATATACAACTTCAGTCTTGGAAATGCTTTCCAATATTAGTGTTACAAGTAGCCAAAGTTTATTTTATATAGTTGTAGCTAAAGCTTTGTGCAGGTGTGTGTAGCATAGTGCACTAGCTCTCCAGAAGAGCAGCAGACTTTTAGATGTTTTAATAACACTACTATTAGGTTTGCAGGTTGGACTGAGCAACTCTTGCTGTTTGGCTTGTCACATTGCTCCAGAGAACTCAGAGCTGGTATCATTGAATTTGCCAGAGTGAGGTAAATACCTCTTCTCCATTCCAGTGATGCCCAGCCCTTGTAACTTGCGACTTATTCATGAAAGGAGAGATTCTTTTCCAAGAAAAACCAGAATCTCCTTTTTGACACAAACTGTAGATTTTAGCAGCCCTGGCCCAAAGGAATTCGAATGCTTTTGTTTTATATAGTCTAAAAGGGACACTACAAAAACAAATCCTGAACAATTTCTTGTTACTGTTTTAATTCGGTATTTTCTTTGGGGATGTCTTGAGAGTGGCAACTTGTGTGAACATTGCACATGGCTATTCTTTCACTGGTTTCTTAGCCTCTCTTACAGCCTATGGGTTAGTACTGTACATCAATACCTTCATATGAAATTTTATATGCAATGGAAATAAAAGCATGTGTTGATTCTGCCTAGTTACTGCATTTGATTTTTTTTTTTTTGAAAGTTAACTTTTTTACATGCATCCCATAGTTTTGACAGCTTAAGAGAAAACATATTTCCAGAAGAATTTGATTACCATATTTTGTCAGAATAGTGTTTCCCATAGATAACACAAAATAAATGTGAGCAAATCAATCATGTATTGTATTTTTTAGGAACCTAATCCACAAAGCTGTGATTCATAGTTATAGTGGAAAGGCATACAATCTTGGTTTTCAGGAAAGTTTACCACTGGCTTTAATAGCTTTAAAAAAACTAGATGTCTAGAGATTGTCTAGAGGAGCAATATGCTAGGATACTGTAAAGAAACAACCAAACCAAGCCAAACAAAAAAAACACCGTGTACCACAATTAAACATTGTCAAAATCTCTGTTCCAAAAGAATGATAAAAATAAATTAATAAATTATAGTGTTTTCTTGAGGAAGAAATATGGTCTTAATGCGAGTCCAAATCTTAAAGGAGTTTTCAGGCACCTTTTTGGTACCTAGCTTTAGGATCAGTGTGAGGTTTTGTGTGACTCTCTGCTTAACTGAAAATAGTCCCTGGTTGAATTTAAAAAAAAAATGTCTATGTTCATTTTTTTCCGTTAAGTTTCTTACATCCTTCTTTGGCTTAAGGGGTTAGTTTGCAAGGAGAATGAATTCTTAGGACTCCTCTTTATTCACACCTTTGTGTCAGAAAATGCTGATAAGTGCTGTGTGGGGAAGATGAAGGATGCTGCAGTTGATGGATAAATTAGATGATGTCTGTCACTCCTGTCAG